CATGCTCTCCATCTTGTGACTATTCTGCCTAAACAACTCAACAGCCTTGAGGTAGTGCAAAATGAAGCCATGCTCATTATCCTAGGATGCCCAAAATCAACCAGAATTGTAAACATGAGGAAAGAGCTCGGATTGCCCTCCGTATCTGAGAGGATAGCCCTACTTAATACCATGTTTCGTGTCAAAGTTTTGAAGAACAATGGTCCCCAAACTACAGCTCAAACTGAGTTGATGTTTTATCTGAGTAATTCCGACAATCTCACTAACCTTCCACAAAAGACTCTCTTTGGGGCGTGGCTTCATAAAAGTGTTGCATATCTCTTGAAACTGAATGTCCCAATCACCCCAGACGATCCCATTAATGCCATTCCTCCTTAGCTGGATATATCAGTTCCTATTAATTAGACTCCTGCTGGTAGAAAGCAAATGTTAAACACCGATGTGATGAGATGTGTCACATTAGAAACTATTAACAGACACATGGAGAGTGTTAAATCAAGTGACTGTTATGCTTTTACTGATGGTTGTGTGCAGACAAACACAGGTAGAACAGGCTGTGCAATTGTAATATATAAAGAAAAAGAGATGATAATGTCAAACAAGCAAAGGCTGAACAACTGGGCCAGCACAACACAAACTGAACTAACTGGAATCTGCTTAGGTACAGACTACCTTAAAGAAAATGGAGGTGGGGTGATATTCTGTGACTCTCAAAGTGCTTTGAAATCAATGAACAGCCCGTCAGGCTCTATGTCTAAAGTTGTAAGTGATATTAAAAGAAATGTGATAACTGCCAATGAGAACAACTCTCGTATCGAATTTGTGTGGATTCCGTCCCATGTTGGAATTAGGTATCATGACCGTGCTGATAGACTGGCCAATGAGGCATGTAAGAAAGAAAATGTTGACCGTGACCTTGGCCTGTTCAATGCTGTACTCAAAAACATTCAAGTCAGATCATGAACTCTGATTTAGAAGAACTGAGAAATGCAGAGACCTGGCAGTTGTAGCATTAGTAAATATGGCAAATTTTGTGACGAGAGGTACCGGTATGGCTAGCAGGACAGAACCAGACAATGTGATGTAGTCGTGGCCAGAATTAGGATAGGATAGACACATCTGGCAAGTTAGTAGCCCTGTACCCATACCGGAACACTCAGCATGTAAACTTTGTGGTAAACCTTTAGTTTAAGGCATACACTTGAACACTATATCATTGAATGTGACACTGTCAAAAACTTCAGACCACCTGGCTTATTGTATCATTGAATTGAGGGTGCCTGAGGACATTCTTGCTCTTTGTCCTAAATTTGCTAGCCCACACGGATTAGTCTTCAATTAGAATATGACGTCCAATGTATATGAACCACTGTCTTGCATGGGAGTGAACAGTGACATTGTGGGGTTAGGAGATATTGGTTCACACTCAGGATGGGATGAAGAAAGGAAACTCACAATGTGTTCTCTGTATACATATTGTAATGGCTGTACAATGCAACTTGGTGCTGGGAAGGCAGCATGGTTACAAGCGTTGAGTAGAGAGAGCTGGTTGGTGAGGGTGCTCAGAGGAGGACCAGCATGTGGGTCGTCATGCTCGCCGGCGGGAGCGAGGGCCGCCAGGCAGGAGTGGAGGAGGAGGTGTTGCTTGTTGGTGGCTGTAGGTAGAAAGAGATAGGTCACCACGAGGTGAGGTCTTATATAGCGGAGGTAGGCGTGGCTAAGTAGTTGACCTCCGTCATGTAGGGCGGCGCTGGTTGCTGTCCTTGGACACGAGGGCAGGCTGGTGAAATCGTGGGTCGGCTAGTCAGCGACAAACAGCGTTTGTAGGGGAGGAATCCACTACAACATCACCCAACTGGATGAAGAAACTGCACTTTTTGAGACTGATTGTGAGAAGGACCTACAGTAGGTGTATATGTTGACAATGAGCTGAAGTTCTCGGGCCATTGCGAGAAGAAGGTAAATCAGGCACCCCGTCTGGGCCCCGAGATATGCTAGGGACTGTCAGTTAGTTGAAAATGTTCAAAGGAGGGCCACCAGACTGGTGCCTGCACTTCGGCACCTCAGCTACTCTTAGAGCGCCTCAACTTGCCTAGCTTATACTACAGACGGGCAAGGGGTGACCTAATTGAGGTGTATGTATAAGCATCTCAAGGGGCACTACTCAGTCGAGTGTCCTTACTTGGAGCTGGCGGACGCTCGCCCCACAAAGGGTCACAGCTCAAGACTGAAGAAGCCGCAAGTCCAGAAAACTGTGAAGGCAAACTTTTTCGGAGTGAGGGTTGTGAACTCTTGGAACAATCTGCCAGAAAGTGTTGTGACGGCACCGAGTGTGAGCTCTTTCAAGACAAGACTTGACCAACACTGGAGCGAGTTCAGGTACATTCAGGAGTCGGTGCATGCCCAGTACTTGCCAACAGTGCATAACAGAGACGTGACCGATCGCCCAAGCGGCTAACGAGCCGATCGGTGGTGAAGAGGATAAAAAAAAATATATATATATATATACTGCTAATGAATATGATGTATTTCTTTTTGTACGAACCTCTGTCCTGCATGGCAGTGAATAGTGATACTGTAGGCGTAGGGGTATGCGATATTGGTTCACACTCAGGATGGGATGGAGAAAGGAAACTCACAATGTGCTCACTGTATACATATTGTATTGGATGTACAATGCAGCTTGTTGCTGGGTAGGTAGCATGGTAATAATAAGCGTTGAGTAGAGAGAGCTGGGTGGTGAGGGTGCCCAGAGCGAGGGCACGCGGCTTGAGGGACGCCAGGGTCGCTGGCGGGAGCGGCAGCCGCACGGCTGGCGCGGAGGAGGAGGTGTTGCTTGCTGGTGGCACTGGGTAGAAAAGAGCTGGTCACAGCGGTGTCAGGCCTTATAAGGCGGGGGTAGGCGTGGGTAGATAGTTGACCCCCGCTCCGTGGGCGGCGCTGGAGGAGTAGGCTGGGGAATTCGAGAAGGTTCGGTGCTTGAAGGGGAGGAATCCACTACAATACCACCCACATGACTCTGACCTATATATACTGTTAATGCATATGATGTATTTCTTTGTGTATGAACCTCTGTCCTGCGTGGCAGTGAGACGTGATACTACCCTCAGTGTCAAGACCTGACTGAATTACTCAGAATAGGCAAACTGTACTCCAAGTTTCGTCAATAAATTTTTTAAACTAAAAAAACTCCCTTTGTCCTTCCCTTGAACCTTATTCACCCCTGCCACTAGCCATTGATTGATTGATCGATCGCCGTGAGGGCAGACAACACCAAGCTCTTAAGCAGAGAAGACCTCCTCTAAAGAAGCTCCTCTACAGCAACTCCTCTACTACGCATCAACTGGCACCAAGTACAAACATTGCAGAAGAATGGTACTTGTTAAGTTGTTATATTATATTCCTTAACGAAGGAAACATCAAATCCGGTCTAGAAGACCTCTTGGAGTGTTATATAATAGAAATGGGTCAAAGATCAAGGTGATAATGGTCCCCAAAATTGCCAACGTTTAACATCGTTATCTCAGAAACTACTGGATAAAAAAACACTTTAAATCTGATATAAAGACTCACTGTAGGACCTACATCGGTCCATAATGACGCAAATGAACTGAATTGACAACACCACCGACTGGGGTTTTTCCTCCGAGTGAGGTGTGTCATTAAACAGTACTGTACAGTACTATGATTGCCCTGTTTCAATACGCGATTAACAGTAAACAGGTAACCGGCAGCGTTAAGAGAACATTTATTACATAAATCCTCCACAAGAATATTTACAGAAACTTTAATCATGCCATGTTGATACACAAATGATATCAGCGGGTGATAAGATCGGCAAACAAAGACTATAATAAGAAAGACAGGAAAGCAAGGCGAGAACAGTGTAAGCCACATAGCATATAGTTGGCCACGGGATCAACACATGGCGTTAGTGTGCAAGGCGCGGGCGTCACCATTACCCGTGTGCAGTCTGCACTCGTACAAAAACAGAACACCCGAGCTTGTGTTAAACGTTTTCACGTTGTTATATATTATTGACCATATAGATTTTACATTGTGATATTGTACTGCATGTGTGTGTCTCAGTGTATATGTGTGTGTGCATGTGTACACATTAAGAACGTCAAGGCAAAGACGTCAAGGTAATAATATTACACACAATATCAAACAGTAAATTTTATATGATCAATGATATACTGTATATAACAACGTGAAGTATGTACAGGGGTACCTAGTGACAGCACTAGGATCCCGCTTCCTCTATCAAGGAATAAACAATTGAAATTGAAATTGAACAACGTGAAAACGTTAAACACAAGCTTGTGGGGATGGTAGTTTGTGTTCACTCAGTATGGAATGGAGAAAGGAAACTCACAATGTGCTCTCTATATACATGTTGTATTGGATGTACAGTGCAGCTTGGTGCTGGGAAGGCAGCATGGTTACAAGCGTGATGTAGAGAGAGCTGGTTGGTGAGGATGCTCAGAGAAGGACAGCTTGTGGGTCGCCATGCTCACCGGCGGGAGCGAGGACCGCCAGGCAGGCGGAGGAGGAGGTGGTGTTGCTGGCTGGTTGGTGTATGTAGAAAGAGACAGGTCACCACGAGGTCAGGTCTTAAATAGCGGGGGGTAGGCGTGGCTTAGTAGTTGACCCCCGCTCCGTGATGTATGGCGGCACTGGTTGACCTAGACCACGAGGCACACACTGTGGAATTCGTGGGGTCGGCTACGCAGCGACAAACAGCGTTTGTAGGGGAGAAATCCACTACAAGCTCACTCCGCTGGTTGCCATGGAAACATGGACGCTACCCTCACGCGCCCCGGGCTTTTAGTTAGCCGCGTTGCCAACAGATGGCGATAATCAAAGTTTGTTGACTCACGTTTTCTTATCTGTAAAGATAGACGCTTTCCTGTCTTTCTTGTTATAGTCTTTGTCGGTAAACAAGTACTGGTGTACTAAGCACAGTGTATACCCAGGGATCGCCCCGCCAAGCCTATCTAGTCTCAGTCGAGCTGGCGCCGCCGGAAAAGTTAGGTAACCTTGTGAGTTAGTGGCATCTAGATATGGCTTATTTATTACGCTGATTAAAGGAAGATAAACTTTTACTTGTAACTGTCCCCATAATCGGTTACTAAATCCGCTGTTTATTGCAACAATTAACAAGTGAAGTGAAAATAAAGCCGCCGACTAGTATAATTAAATATAAAGTTTACAGATACGCAACGAGCAATTTTTCATTGTTTACTACACAGAGCATACCACAGCTGCCTACTTGAATAGGTAAGAACGATTACGTTTTAATGAAAGAGTTATCTAGCGCTTGTTTTATACCAAATATTCTTTGTCCAAAGATTTTCTTGTTCACAGTATACTGATTGCACATGTACGACCTCTGCATGTTGACAACGTACTGGAGAATCTGAAGAACTATGGGCGCTGTAATACAATTGTTGGGGGGATATACTCTTCTGTACATTTAAGAAGTTCAAGAACCCGAACATGTCTAGCACTCATGCAACAGAACTACCAGCGCGGTTAGTGAGCTGTGTGGTCTTAAAGGACAATATTTATGTTTTTTCTTCAGTTTCCTTCCACTGTCCAAAGGGAAGCTACTCTGCAGACTGGTGCCTGAACTACTGCACCTCAAGTACCCAAAGATTAGAACGCCTGCAGTTACCTAGCTTATACTATAGGCGGGTAAGTGATGAATTAATATAAATATAAAAGGACCCCAGAAGACATTACTTAGTTGAGTGATTATACCCGGAGCTGGTGGATGCCTTCCCCACTAGAGGTCATAACCTCAGGTTGAGAAAACCACAAATTCAGAAAATTGTCAGAGCAAACTTTTTTGGAATGGGAGCTGTGAACTCTTGGGATAACCTGCCAGAGAGTGCTGTGACGGCACCGAGTGTGAACTCGTATAAGACTAGACTTGACCAACAATGGTGCAAGTTCAGATGACATTCTGGAGCTGGTGCATACCCTGTACTTTCTTACAGTGCTTTACCGACATGTTGCGTTTGTGTGGATCCACACTGTTTGGTGGAATCAGATGAAATACAAATATATGAAGTTCTTAAGTATTTATCAGTAGAAGATGTAAATAGATATGTGAAATATCCTAAGCTCAGGAATTTTGTCTCGAGACTGTGACTGACAATGTAAAGTGCGGTGAGGGGCGCCTGACCCACACTGGCAGGTGAACATCTCTATTACCATCATCGATAAAGCGTAATCAAACCTAACCAGATTTTTTGTTTACTGGACTAGCCCACCAGAGCACTGGTCAATGACCCACTTCAGGGCCTAAGGGCGAAAATGTAATGCAGTAATTATGATAATAATAATTAATAAAAAATTATAAAATGATAAATATTAAATAAAAATATAAGAACAATAATAATGATAATAATAATAATATTAATAATGGACCAATGGACCATAAAAAAACAACCAATAGTGAGAAACGATATGCAGTATGTATGTTGTGTTGTCAAAGTAAGAGAAACAATTGAGTCCCGGTCATTGTGCGTAAATGAGGCAGAAAGTCAGTTCAGCAACCTGGGACTTGGTCACAATTTTTGTGGTATATGGCAGCAGGGTCTACCATTAGGCGGTAGTCCCTCCCTGTTTGGTAGCTGCCTCCTACCTACCACACAATAGTCCAGTTTGTACTGCAGAAGGGCGAAAGGCGATTTGATATAAGCTTGCAAGCACCTCGAAGAACATGACTGTCAAATGTACATAATTATGATTTTATTTTAGTTAGAGGAGAACGTGAGCAGAACCTTCCCAGTACAGTAACATAACTTATGAGGTATTATATATTGGTTAAAAAAGAATGACCTATTACGAGGACGATCTTTTTGTATCCTCGCGAATTACCGCAGCACTGTGTCATCAGACGTATGTATCTAAAGGTTTGTCTTACACGTCAAGCAATAGAAAGGTGTGATAAGCTTATAGTTAAGTTTATTACAGCAATGACTTCTAATTCCTGTGAAAAGATAAGCGTCTGATATTGCTCACAAATTCCTTGATTGATGCTAGTCCCTCAATATCACTACGTTAGTTGGTTAGGAAGTAATTAGTAATAGCCTGATAGTATACAAGTATTTAAAACCCATGAAAATAGGACTGAACTCAAGCCATCTCAAACTATCCAACCAGGAGCGTGAAATAGGTAAACACTGGTTTGGAAACAGAGTAGTGGATGAATGGAACAAGTTACCAAATATCATCATTAACTCGAATACGCTGGATAGCTTCAAACATAGGTTGGATGCTTATATGAGCAATAGGGGTTGGGTATAAACGGGACTGCCCAGTATGGGTCAATAGGCCCGCTGCAGTTTCCTCCATTCTTATGTTCTTATGTTCTTATCCCCCTTCTTGAAAATCGGTATTACATTTGCTATCCTCCAGGATTCTGGTACTACACCTGTTTTTAATGACATGTTAAACGACTTTGCTAAGGGCATACTAAGCTCTTCCTTATATTCCTTTAATACTCTCGCAAATATCTCATCGGGACCAGGTAACTTATTAGGCTTCAGTTTGTCTATTTGCTTACTAACATCGTTACTAGTCACTACTATCTCGCTTAATTTGTTTTCTTCACTATCTCTGAATAGAGCCGGTGCCTCGGGTATCATGTTTAAATTTTCGGCACACACTCACACGTATATGTAACAAAGATATGATAACAATTCCTTTTGAAAACAATAAAGTGTGAAAATAAAGATTGTGTGATAATTTGGAGGAATGGAAAGTTCCAGGTCAGCCGACGACCAACTTGTGGAAAGTTCCTATCTTAATTAGTTTACCTTTGTTGGTACCTGGAGCCCCATGTTTGTTTGTTTGTTTGTTTGGTTGGTCATTGACTTCACACGTGCGATACATATTTATTTATTTATTTATTCATTTTATTTCTGAAGTTTTATCTGTGTACGTATTAACGATGCATTTATCAAAGAGTTAAACTAAGATAACTGGTGTGTAAGTTAATTATAGTTAATAAATATAGTAAGGCAACGTGTTGGCCTGTCCGTTGTTCCACCATCTTGCTTTTTGCCATTGTCTGCATACCCAAGATACCTGTCAACATGCTCAATCAATGTGAAATTATATGATAATTCTACTAAATAGATTTATCCATTTATGCATTTGTAAATAAATAGATAAGCAAGTGAACTCTTGGACGGAGTGAGGGCAGGGGCGGCCATGCCCCCCTCCCCGAGATTTTGGCTGGCCCTGGGTTGTCCCCCATTTCTTATTCTCAAAATTGTAATTCCAAAAACATTCCGAAAACCAGGAAGTGAGTTTTATATCTAGAAGTGTAAGTAATAAGAGTGCAGAGGTCTTATTGCAACTATATCTTGCGCTAGTCAGGCTGCACCTCGATTATGCGGTTCAGTTCTGGTGCCCTTATTATAACATAAGAACATAAGAAAATAAAGAGTCTGCAATCGGCCGGTTGGCCTGTGCATGGCAGCTCCTGTCGAGAGTTACTACCACTCTCTATCATCCATGAATCTATCTAGCCTCCTTTTGAAACTTTCCAGTTCCCGCACTTACTACAAAGTTGCTAAGCTTGTTCCACTCGTCCACCAACCCTATTTGTGAACCAGTTTCTTCCTATCTCCTCCTAAACCTAAACTTGTCCAACTTAAATCCGTTGCCCGAGTCCTATCCTGCTCGGATATTATAAGAACTTTATCAATATCCCCTTATTGATTCCTTTCACCCACTTAAATACTTCTATCATATCTCCCCGCACTCTTCGTCTTTCTAGGGAATGCAAGTGAAGTTTCCTTAACCTATCCTGATATGGAAGGTTTCTAAGTCCCGGAATCATTTTCGTCATTCTTCGCTGCACCGACTCTAGTGAATTGATATCCATTCTATAATAAGGGCACCAGAACTGAACCGCATAATCGAGGTGCGGCCTGACTAGCGCAATAAGACCTCTGCACTCATATTACTTACACTTCTAGATATAAAACCCAATACTCTGTTTGCCTTAATTTGAACATTAACGCACTGTTTTCTAGGCCATAAGTCCGCTATACCCCTAGGTCTCTTTCACAAGTCGACTCTCTAGGTTGATGTTGTTAAGGCTGTATACATTGTCAGTATTTGTTCTTCCAATATTAAGTACGCTGCACTTGCTGGTGTTGAATTTCATTTGCCATTTTTCAGACCCACCCCTGCAGTTTATTTAGATCCTCCTGTAATGCATTTGCATCCTGCCCTGAATTAATCTGCCGCCCTATTTTGGTTTCATCCGCAAACTTGCTTATGTCACTGCTGATCCCAGTATCTAGATCGTTTATATAGATTATGAACAAGAATGGGCCTAGTAGTGACCCCTAGGGAACCCCATTGGTTACACGGCCCCACTCAGATTTAACACCATCTACGCTGACCCTCTGCGTTCTATCGCCCTCTGCGTTCTATCGGTGAGCCATGATTTTATCCAATTTAAAACTTTCCCCTCGATACCATGAGCCTTAATTTTTCTCAGAAGCCTCTGATGGCGTACTCTGTCAAATGCTTTGCTAAAGTCTAAGTAAATAACATCGTAATTTTCGTCATTATCTCCTACCTCGAAGACTTTCCTAAAAAACGTCAGCAGATTTGTTAGACAAGATTTTCCCTTTGTAAACCCATATGCGAGTCGTAGATTAATTTGCTTTCTCTAGATGCGATTGATGCTATCTGCTATAATTGATTCAAGAAATTTCCCCACTACTGACGACAAACTGATCGGCCTGTAATTTGACGCTGATGCTCTGTCTCCCTTTTGAATATGGGTACTACATTTGCCTGTTTCCACAGTCTGGCACAACTCCGTGTCTAATGATTTTGCAAATAAATTTACAAGGTGTCCAGTAATCTGTTCCCTACACTCTTTCAAGACTGGAGGGAAAAATTTATCCGCCCTGGGGATTTTGTCTTCTTTAGTTTATTTATCCTCTTAAGAACATCCCTCTTTTCTGATAAAGATATTCTTTAATTTCTCTTCTTCCTTTCCCCAAATATCAGTTCCACCTCTTGAATTTCCTCGCAAATTTCTTCTGTAAAACTGATAAGAAGTAGCTGTTCAATGCTTTGCTTATTTCTTCACTGCCATTTATTACTTCTCCTCCCTGACTTTAAAGGCCCAACTTTGTCCTTGACTTTTGTTCTATATACCTGGAAAAATCCCTTGGGATTCGCCTTGGATTCTCTTGCTATTTTGATTTCATAGTCTCTTTGCTTTCCTTGCATTTTTC